TAGTTATTCTATGCCAATTAGTTTAAAAATTGGCTTGTATTGTTTGTTCCCTGCTTTGTCCTACGTACTTAACCATATGGTTATTAAAATTTTTAATTGAACAAAAAATAGTGGGCCTGTAATAAATCGGCCCTTGGGGATCTGTTAAAGAGACTAGACATGTAGGCACTAAAAGAAACTGAAATTTCAATCCAGTGAATCATTCTTCATCTATTGGTATTGTGCTTTGCCACTTGTTCGGGTTGACGAAAATGTCGGAAATGGTACCGCGCAAAGTGAAGATCCCGCGGTTGAGAGGAACCGGTCGTGGTTTCTTATCCACTTCAGCAAGCCATTTTTTCCAAGCCTCTGCCGCCATTTGACGTCGCTGTTCTTCAATTGAACGGCGTCGTTCTTCCTCTTCCTTCTTGAGATTTCGGCGACGTTCCTCCTCCAGCTGTTTGGCACGTTCCCAGGCCTCTAATTTTGCTTGCGCTTCTTCTTCGCTAATAAGNTTAAGTAATTCTTTATATTATTAAACGTGCGATATGATCAAGTTGCCGGAGCTGCTGTCATCATTGGTGTCTAAATGTACGGCAAACTTCTATCGCATTTGCGAATAACTGCATGTAGGTATATATCAAAATAGCGTTTCGTAGATTTCAAGAAAATGTGCATACAGTGGATTCAGCAATCGCCCCGACAGTTGGGTCTACGTAACCGGTACGACCCAGATTTATATCTGGCCAAGCACTGTCACTCAAGCAACACTTCCCACACTTTGGGGAACTTGTATGTTGTTACATAACATCATTGTTTAAGGTTTGCTGTATCCCATTCTGTCCAAATGATTCTAAACTAATTTTAAGAACTTTAAAAGTTAGTTATTCTATGCCAATTAGTTTAAAAATTGGCTTGTATTGTTTGTTCCCTGCTTTGTCCTACGTACTTAACCATATGGTTATTAAAATTTTTAATTGAACAAAAAATAGTGGGCCTGTAATAAATCGGCCCTTGGGGATCTGTTAAAGAGACTAGACATGTAGGCACTAAAAGAAACTGAAATTTCAATCCAGTGAATCATTCTTCATCTATTGGTATTGTGCTTTGCCACTTGTTCGGGTTGACGAAAATGTCGGAAATGGTACCGCGCAAAGTGAAGATCCCGCGGTTGAGAGGAACCGGTCGTGGTTTCTTATCCACTTCAGCAAGCCATTTTTTCCAAGCCTCTGCCGCCATTTGACGTCGCTGTTCTTCAATTGAACGGCGTCGTTCTTCCTCTTCCTTCTTGAGATTTCGGCGACGTTCCTCCTCCAGCTGTTTGGCACGTTCCCAGGCCTCTAATTTTGCTTGCGCTTCTTCTTCGCTAATAAGAGACTTCGATGGTTTTTCTTCCTGTTCAATCTGTAGCTTAATTTTTTCACGCGAACGAGTTTGACCGGATTTTGTTTTCAGCCATTGGTGAAACTTTTCTTCAGAAAGACGCTTTCTCGCCTCTTGCTCCTTGTGCTTCTGCTCTTCAGCTCTTCGTCGACGGGAAGCTTCATCTGATATAAGTTTTCTATGTAAAAAGGGAAATGTAAGCAATATACGTACAAAAACAAGCCGACAATCAGGACCTTTTGGCAGATAACCAGGTTTCATAAGCTAAATCAGGCTTTAAAACAATTTTAGCCGCTTCGCAGTGTTTGCGATATGAAAAAGTGTAGTCTCTGGTAGTAGGGTAATTATCTTCCGACTGGAGGTCCAAGGGTGGAACAATATCACTGTGATTCTCGGATGGTGGATGGGGTTTATTATCTTCATTTATACTACTTGTTTCGCTTTGGTCGGGAGTTTTTTCAATAAAAGCAGCACGATTTATGTACCTTAGGCGGCAAAAAGTTTTCTTTCCTTGTGACAAGGCGCACATTTTGGGTGCATTCCAAAACATAAAAAAAAGCATCGGTCTCTTTTATTTCTAAACCGCACTAGAAGAAAGAGTCTATATGGCGCAAACTAGTTGCAAATTGGCATCTAACCGTGGTTGCGCAAATTTGGCATTACAATCCGCTGAGGTTTAAAAATAAAAGCGACTGATGCTTAGTATTTTGACGTTTTGGAATGCACTATTTCTGTTAAAAATATTACATTACCTCACGCTTGACTTTGTTTCACAGCTTCGTGAACTTAGGATGACGCGAGAGGTACTGGCACTGGTACTGCTGGCACCTACTGAAATTGCTAAACTACGAGCCGAGTGGCGTCGCTCAATTTCATTACCACTGTCATCAACCCGAGTTGTATAGAAGGCCATGATATCACTTTCGGCAACTGCTTTTTATCCCTGCACTGAAACGGTTGGCGATTTCAAAGAAACCTTATAAAAAAAAAATACTTTAAAATATGTTTTTCCTCTTTGGTTGTTGTTTGGAGCAAGATTTGGACAGTAAAAAATTCACGAAAAAATTAATTATCATGGAATAAAAATATTTTTAAGTTTGAAATATAATTTGGAGTTTGATAGGATAGGTTGCCAATAATACAACTTTTTCTCCCGTAGCAGAGTTCTTAAAGCCACAGTAGATACGGGTTCTCTAACAGGCAATAAATCTAAAGCACATGATATATTTTTCTTACAATTACGCTAATTTTATTTCTTTCCTTTCAAATATTTTCCCCTAAGACCTGAAACTTTACCAACTATCGGGAAAACTGATGAACTTGCATAGCAGGCTTTATATTGGTTTTAATGCCTGCGGGGGCCTTGTTTATTTGACCAACACCACCTGGACTTACGGAAGTCATGGGCGCAGACGCGCGTAGCGGTGGTACCATCATACTGCCAGGTCCTCCTGATGCTACATTCATCGGAACATTAACTTTCAGTCCTTTGCCCATTCCAACGGCAGCTACTAGAGCATGAGTGTCCGCCATACTGCTAGTTTGCTGAATACCTATGTATCGTAATCGCAAATAGGAAATCGTAATTAATAAATGACGTGAACTGAAAATTCAATTACTAGAAAGTGGGTTTTCAATTTCAAAACCAACCTGCTCTCGTTGATGATTCTATTTCCCACTCTTCGCGAGCCTTACTAACCATGTCTAATACGTGTGAAACTACCTTATTATATTGTGTTACTTGCTTCATTGCCGTTTCCATGGTCAAGTTGGAAGCTTTCTGTTCACTCTGAATCATTTTTTGTTCAGTGATAGGGTCCGGTTTAGTGCGCAAATAATCGGGTACAATGTCATGCGAAAATACCGGCACACGCCCTTGAGTGAGATTTACCAACGATTCATCTCGTTCTGGTGACAGCATAAGCGGCAGCACAGTACGATTTCGTAACGGTGGGCAAACTTCCTTTGCAAGAATTTTAGACAATCCTGTCAGCTAGTATGAGAAATTAGATTTACACAAAACGTACCATTGATTTGTTGGGACTTACATGGCTTGATATAATGGCGAAATTGTCAAGAAATGTTGGCCAATTAATGATCTCGTATTCAGTCTCCAATTTCTGTATCATCCCTCCGATCGATATCTTTAAGTCATTTAAGCGATTGAGGATGGCATCCAGCGTCATTTCCATTTGCTTCTCTTCACGTTGCATTGTCGAGGTTTTTAATATAAAAGCTATCTTGGAATATTGGTCTATTTGTATTTACTTTTTGCTTAGAGGTGGTAAACTACTATCGATTGCTAATGCTTTCCCTTCTGAAATGTCGAAAGTATGTGATATAATGTGCGATATAGGCGACTCGATTTAATGCAGCGTTTTTGCTGCATTTAAAATGCAACATTTAGCACTTT